CGAAGGAACCGAAACCTACACTTTTTCGCATCGCTGGAAGGGTAGACATCGCTGTCGATGATATTCCAACTGCTCCAAGATCCCTAATTTCAATTATATATATCTATATATGGTCTGTACCAATAAATATTCTCAAAGCCCTTAACTGCTTATATAAATAGGCAGGTTACTTTCAGCAAAAAGGGCGAGAAAACCCTGTGCAATTGGCAGAACCGAAGCCTCTTAGACTTACTCCGTAGTGTTCAATGAGTCCGCCCAACGTGGAGAATGCCCGGTCGGGTAAGCCGAACAAATGATACCACGTATATTCCTCCTCCGGTGTTACCGCATTCGCATCCTTCGATGGTTTGCTAATTTGGACGAAGAAGTGGGTACAGACACCATCCGCGCCCACATGGCTGATGACATAGCCCAGAAAGCTCTCGCTGACTCGAAGTAGGAAACTGTTCGCGGCCTTGCCAGACAGTAACGCCTCGGCTTGTCTTCTCTTTAAGATGCCTGCAGAAGTCGCAAAACAGTGGAGACGAATTAGAAGATGACAAAAAAGGAAAAACAAGAGGCTGGACATTGAAGGCTAGGGTCAGCAGCTATTGCTGGGTAAAAGGGTTGTACGAGAGTTTATGGCTCCGACACATCTCTGGTTCACGATAGCCGGTGACGAAGTCGACAACAGAAGGTTTGACACTCGTTGATGAACGCTCACCGATCGCTAACGCAATTCACTCATCCCGCGTCCTGCCTTGGGACTCATTCTCGAGCCCCACCAGCAGCCGCACAGCGGCCAGTACTGTAGGTGAATATGTAGAGGTCTAAGCCAATCGCTAGCGGAAATTACTTGTTCCGCGTCCTGCCTTGGGACTCATTCTCGAGCCCCGCCAGCAGCCGCACAGCGGCCAGTAGTCTAGGCAGATAGCATTGCCGGCAAAGACAAGGGAGAGACTGGAATGGCTCATCAGCAGTCGTCAGGCAGTCATACTTAACTCCAAATGCTGCACCGCAAATTAGCAGTCGGGGAAACTGATGAGGCTGGGCAAACTTGCTCTGAGAGGAGCTTACATAAGGGCTCTACATAAAGGTGCTGCCCAGAGTCTCCTTATGCCAGCTGTTATTGTGTGCGTGTCCGCGAGACCCCAGAGCATGTACTGTATCGCCTGCAGCCAATCAGGGAAATGGTGCACATTGATTGGGTCCGAGCTTTCGCGAAGCTGTGGCCGAGAACCGCGCGCAACCGACCCGACCGTCGGCGTGAGGTGCTTTTCACAGCACATCGAAGATTGTCATGTGCGAATGCGCAAGACTTGACAGATGAAGAGAAGACGAGTCAGCAGTAGTGACGCTGATTACCAACTGCCATAGCTTTATTTCACACCGTCACGTTATGCCCGATATCATTTTCGAAGCTGAGCTGAGTCCCCTTTTTCTAGACCCTCGAGGGTGGGTGGGAAAACCATCTTTCATCACCAGAGTAAAACCGATGCGCGCGTTGAGACTACTGCGTCGTCCTAATAGTCGCTGCTTGGAAGTTGCCAGTTGGTCCGATAAATCGGTCCTCTTACGGCCAACAAACCACGCCGCGACCCTATTAATCCACCAACGAAAGACTGGAAATTCATGTTTGCAAACCAATTGATTTCGGCCATTCATCTTCAGGCCGATACAATGGGATGGAGAATAGAATGGCCAGTTATGTGCAATGTTTATATGGTCCTCGAGATAGGGGTGGAGGGGTATGATTAATCACCACGGCGTTTCCTCGTCTAATGCACGCTGGAGCCAGGGCG